TAGCACCTCGTGGCCTGTCCTGTACAACGCTGTCTAGCCACAACTGTTCAACACCACTGCCCCCAGACTCTGTTCTTGGAGGACTGCTCTCTCCAGGGGAGCTCCTCCCTGGGCAGCCAGGGGTGAGCCCAGGTCTCTGTGGGGACTTTGCACAGGGGGCTGAGGAGCCTGCTGGTTGTTGGAAAGGGCCAAAGCTGAGAGCCTGGGAAGAGGGCTGGGGTGGGGATGCCTGGGTAGGGGACGGCAGGGATTACAGGGTTGGGTGGAGTTGCTCTGAAGGGGATTTTGGAGGAAGGGCAGGTGGGTGGCCTCTGCCTGTCCTTCCACAAGAGGTGCAGGCATTGGGCTGTACCCTACCTAAGGGGCAGCTGTTGGCTTCTCCGGTCCAACACTGCCTTGCATCTCTTCTTCTGTGTCTCCGTTCATTCATTTCAAGGCCCCTGTCTTTGCTATTGTTTTAGAATAAAAGCAAATGTCACCTCCATCAGTGCTATGCTCCTCTGGACAATGCACAGAAGAGGAACACTTATACCGGAGAGCTATGAATTCTTCAGGGGAAACAGGGCAAAGCAAGAGGCACTTGTGGAAATTCATGTGTTGGGTCCCGGACCATACCCTGGGCCTACCACTTCCTCTGTCTCTCTCTGAACCACTGGATGAACCACTTGCATTCTGCGTGTGCCTGTCTCTGCTCCTTAACTAATCTCTGTTTTTCCCAGTTTCTTCCTTTTCCCTCCTTGGGGACATTGAGGGAAGCCCCATAGTCTCCTGGATGTGTCTTGACCTTTATGGGGCCTGGAGGAGAATGGGGCATTCGGGTGAAGACGGTGGGGAGAACGCAGAGGGAGTAGGGAGGGGCCTCCCAGGAGTGGGCCCTCTCCTTTTGCTGAGGATATGCTCCAGAGACACACATGGGCTGTGGGCTGGCCCTAGGAAGGGGGCTGTGGGCTCTACCCATACCCAGCACCCTCACTCCCCCCAAGTTCTGCAGAGCTCCAGGCGCGGGTCAGGAAGGCTGGCAGCTGCTTTCATAGGCCCCAAACTGCAAGGAGGTGGCCACTAGCCCTTAGTAGGTCAGGGGGACCAATGAAGTACCCTGACTTCAGGTGCTGAGGGACCCCCGGGTGGTGCCTTCACAAGCAACTGTGCTTCTAGGGGCATCTAAGCCCTTGATAAACACCCCCCCCCCCCCGACTCCTATCTCCGAGGGTCAAAACCAGACTCTCCCGCCCCCTCATCCCAGTAAGTCTCCCACTGATGGACCCTGTCTTCCAGTTCACTTTGGTGTCAGAGCCCCCTTTATTGTCAATAACTTCCTCTCTCTTCTCCCCAAAAGCCTTTCTCAGAGCGTAACCAAGCTGTGAGCATTGGTGATGAAGCAGGACATCAGAGGTGACAATTATTATGGGATTAAGTCTCTCTATATACTCCTTAGGTAGGTTCAGGCACATCTGGATCCCTGTCCCAAGTCTTGGGGCACTAATCCCCATGTACCCTTGGGATTCTCCCAGAGTTAAGGGATGAACATCTCGCCAAACCCAGGAATACTCTTGGTCTCATACATCTTTTTTTTTTTTAAAGATCTATTTATTTATTTAAAAGGCAGAGGCAGAGAGAGAGAGAGAGAGAGAGAGAGAGAGAGAGAGAGAGGTCTTCTATCTGCTTGTTCACTCCCCAAATGACTACAATGGCTGGAGATGAGCTGATCTGAAGCCAGGAGTTTCTTCCAGGTCTCCCACGTGGATGCAGCAGCTCAAGCTCTTGGGCCATCTTCTACTGCTTTTCCAGGCCATAGCAGAGAGCTGGATCAGAAGTGGAACAGCCGGGACTCGAACCCATGTCCATATGGGATGCTGGTGCTGCAGGCGGAGCTTAGTCCACTACGCCACAGCTCTGGCCCCTCTTGTAACCCATGTTTTAACCTTACCACATTAATTCAAATCCCAAACTCAATTCCAATCCAGTTGTAACCCCAATCCCAAATCAACCTCAACCTAGGCTTTGATATAGACCCAACTATAGGAGGTACTTCAAGAAAGTCTGTGGGCCAGCGCTGTGGTGCTGTAAGCTAAGTCTCCGCCTATGGTGCCAACATCCTATATGGCATCAGTTCAAGTCCTGGCTGTTCCTCTTCTGATCCAGCTCTCTGCTATGGCCTGAGAAAGCAGTGGAAGACAGCCTAAGTCCTTGGGCCCCTGAATCTGTGTGGGAGACCTGGATGAAGTTCCTGGTTCCTGGCTTTGCATCGGCTCAGCTCTGGCCATTAGGGACATTTGGGGAGTGAACCAGTGGGTGGAAAACCATTCTCTGTCTCTCTATCTCTCTCTCTGTTTGTAAATCTGCCTCTCAAATACATAAATAAATAAAATATTTAAATAAAATTTGTGGAAAATGGAATTAAGAGGTAAGCTTATTTTGGTGCAAAGATATTTTTGAAATCCACATGTAGCTTTTTCACAATCCACATTTCCATGAACTTTTTGAAGACCCCTTTCATTCCCCAGTACAGCTGTAAATAAAACTAAAACCCAAATTGTCACTGTCACACAAATCCCAGCCATAAACCCTAGCCTGTTCTAGGGCAATTCAAATGCTGACTGCAGTCTCAAAGCTGACTTCTATCTCATTCACAGTTTCAAGTAACCGGGGCCTGCACTGTGGTGCAGCGGGTTAAAGTCCTGGCCTGAAGTGCCGGCATCCCATACGGGCATCAGTTCTAGTCCCGGCTGCTCCTCTTCTGATCCAGCTCTCTGCTATGGCCTGGGAAAGCAGTAGAAGATGGCCCAAGTCCTTTGGCCCCTGCACCCGAGTGGGAGACCTGGAAGAAGCTCCTGCCTCCTGGCTTTGGATCGGTGCAGCTCTGGCCATCGCGGCCATCTGGGGAGTGAACCAACCAGAGGATGGAAGACCTCTCTGTCTCTACTTTGCTCTGTAACTCTTAATTTTTTTAAAGATTTATTTATTTATTTGAAAGGCAGATTTACAGAGAGGCAGAGGCAGAGAGAGAGGGAGGTCTTCCATCCACTTGTTCATTCCCAAGATGGCTGCAATGGCTGGAGAGCTGCACCGATTGGAAGCCAGGAGCCAGGAGCTTCCTCTGGGTCTCCCACGTGGATGCAAGGGCTCAAGCACTTGGGCCATCTTGCACTGCTTTCCTAGGCCATAGCAGAGAGCTGTATAGGAAGTGGAGCAGCTGGAACTCGAACTGGCACCCATATGGGATGCTGGCACTGCAGGTGATGGGTTTATCTGCTACACCACAGTGCCCGCCCCACTAACACCAATAACCTCAGTTCCAGCCTGCAGCCCAGCTCTAACATTAGCTCAAGTCCAGAACCCAGTGAAACCCCTGCTGTGCCTTGCAGTTTAAAGGAACTATGATCAGACCCCTTTCTTTCAGTCTCCCTCTTCCTAGTCCCACCTGGTTCCCCCTCTACCCACCTCTGAGCTGCTGTCCTTTCTCCCATGAGCAGGTCTAGTAACTCACACACCAAGTCCTTTTCTTGGACTACTTTGCCCTGGGAGCCAGCATGTGTGGGTGTCCCTCACCTCGGCCCCCGCGGCATCAGCTAGCTGAGCCTCCACGTTTCTCCAGGCTTCTGTTTCCCCATCTGTAAAAGAGGGGTAATGAGCCCTGCTCTCTGGAGGGTACAGGAAATCTCATAAACCTAAAAATAAATAAGGAAATAAGGATATTCACTGTGTACATCTCTTTGATCACAGAATGCTTTGTTATTGTTGGGAATTCAGGTAGAGGGATTTGGAACACCGATGCGTGGACTCCTTGTGCTTCCTTATTGTTGGGTCTTATTTTTCCCAGAGGGGTAGGTCCTGGCAGCATCCCCGAGCTCCATAACTCTCCCCAAGGCTCTTCCCCCAATGCCCTTCCCTTGCCCGCATCAGGGCTGGTGAAGAACCCTAGGGTCCCTTGATGGAGTCCAGCTGTACTGGTCCTCTGCTTTCTGCCTTTGCTTCAGCCTGCCGGGAACTGTGCTGGCTTAGTCACCCCAAGACCAGTCTCAAGGACCCAAGGACGTGGTCTGCATGAACCCTTCAAGGCCTGGCCTCTCCTGGACATGAAGCCAGGACACCAAGGGATTCCCCAAGGCAGCACACACAGCTGGCATTGCTTGACAGAGGCAGCCTGCCTCCCTCGCACCCCAACACTCCCTAGAGGGATGCAGACACCAGGCACGCTCCTTCCTAGTCCTCTCCAACACCCACCCACTCGCCTCTCTCCCCTCCACACACACCCCGATCCTCTCCACTCAGGCCTCAGTGAACCGCATTTACACCTCCCATGTGCCAGGTGAGGATCCAATTCCCCACAACACTCTGCCTCCCAGGGATGACCCCGAGTCAGGCATGGGTGGGGGCAGAGTTCCAGAGAGGACAGCCATGGGGAGAGCCTGGTGCTGCACGCACCCCTCCCTCCCCTCCTTCAGCTCCCTTTGAAGAGCGCCCCTTTCATGTGCCCCAGGCCCCAGCGTGGAGAAGGGTCCATTCCCCTGGTGCACCTGCTCCCAGACCCCCATCTGAACAGGTTGGGGTGGGAGCTTCACTGGAGGATCAGGGATGCCTGCAGGGGCTGAACTTGGATGCAGGAGGCTGCTCTGGGGTCAGGGTTAACCCTTCAAGGCCTGGCCAACCTTCCTCCCCCAAGCCTGGCTTCTCCTTCCTCTTCCTCACTTCTCCTATGAAAGGAGGCAGTAAATAAGTGGTGAGGGGAGCTCTGTGGACGCTGAAAAATGGGGCAACTGTTGTCACTCCGAGGACGTGGCCAGGAGGAAGTGGAGGTTTAACAGGTGCCTAATTACACATCCCTCTAGCCACCCTGTGCCACTCTCGGGACCGGGAAGAGCTTGGGTGAGGGCTGGGTAATGCCTGGGTAGGCTATCCTGTCACCCCGCTAATTAGGGTTCCTGGGACTCCTCCCCAAGGCGGGGACCAGGCCCCCTCCCTCCCATTGAAATAACTCTGGCTGCTCCCCAGCCGGCCACTCATTGCACCTTCCTGCCACCCCGGGCAGTGTCTGGGCCCTCGGCTCCCCTCCCTCCACCCACCCCACACACCCACCACCACCGGCCCACGGGATACCCAGCCCCAGCGGAGGAAACACCGAGTCTAGAGCCATGGGAGTTCCAGGAGCCTTCCACCTTCTACTTGTGTGCCTGAGCCCAGGTATGGGGCTAGGCAGTGGTTAGAGATGCCCACCAGCATGAGGCCAGGTGGGCAGGGAAAGTACAGCCAGGGTGCACGGAGGTGCCTGCAGAGCTGTTTGAGAGGCCCTAGTGGGCACTGCTCAGCCACATCTGGCTGCCCCCTGGGTTTGGATATTGCTAAGGGGGCTTCTCCCCAGGAGAGAGAGAGAGCCTGTGCCTGAAGGCTTGGCATAGCATGTGTGTGGCTCTGAGTGGATTTCCATGGTGCCACAGAGCCTGTGGGGCTTGCGCAGGGCGCAGGTGTCCTGAGTGCATGCACTGTGAGCAGGACAGAACTTGCTTGGGGTTACCTGTGGGAACTGGAGGTGGGGCAGGAGTCAGGTGAGCAGCAGCACTGGTGGGGGAGGGGGCTTGGGGAGCAGCCCGGTAAGAACTCTGTTGGCCTCTCAACTTTCATCAGCTGTGTGCTCTTGCCAGTGGGAGGGCCTCTCTCCTCTCTCTCTCCTCAGTGGGGGGGCGCTGCTTGCCTTGAAAGGGCCAGAGACAGGGCTGCTGTAAGTCTGAGTGGCCTGAGACCTGTGCCCTGGGCTTCCTACGCTGTGTGGGTTCCAGGATGATCACCCCCCTGGGGCACTCTGGCGGCAGTGCTCAGGTTTGGTATTATGGCTGCCTGCCCAGCTTGGGGCAAGTCCCAGCAAGGGCCATTCTGTGCGGGCATCGCTGGAAATGTCTTTTGAGCTCTTCCTGGGGTCTGGGTTTGGGAGAAAAGGGTGTGAGGGTGGCGTGCACGAGGGGGTAGCATTTCAGTCTGTGTGTGAACGATCGCATTTCCTGCAACACCTCTGGGGCTGAGCCCACTCAGGAAGCTGCCGCTGTGCTGTGGGCACCCAGACACCTCTATGTGGTGTGTGTCTAGGCATGAACCCTCCCACACGTCCAGAGGGAGGGTTAGGAGTTGTGGAAGCAACATGAAAATTCAGAAAATTCAGCAATAAGGAAGCTGGGGTAGACATGACTACTGAGGTGACACCAGTAAAAGTGGCCAGTCCCTGGTGCGTCTGTGCTGGGACAATGAATCACCATTGTTCTCTTCCTTGCTGGGGCTACTGTGACTCCTCCTGTCCCTGTGTCCCCCACCTAGCTCTCTCTTCCACCCTGGCTTCTTTCCCACTCTCCAGTCTCTCTCTTCTCTCATGTCTCCTGGGTCGAACCCCTCTGTCCCACAGCAAGAGGAATCAAAGCAAGACACCAGAAACAACTCAGAGGGAGGGAGGGGATGCAGAAAGGCTGGAACTGTTGGCAGGAGATTGAGAAAGCTAAAGAGACTGAAAAGCTGGGGTGAGGCTCCATGGCTGGGAACAGCAGGGTGGGGGTGCTTTTCTTCCAGCCGGTCCCTCCTTGCCAACCCCTTTCCCCGAATACTTACCCTCCTGCCCAGCTGGCCACATGCTGTGGGAAAAGAGAAACCTCCTCCGCGTGGGTTGCACCCGGCAGCTCTTCCCCAGGGTGGAGCCTCTGCTCTCAGCTGGGTTCTGGCACATCTCTAACCAGCTTTGTGCCGCCCCAGGATCTGGCAGGTGGCACTAGGATCCTTATCTCAGGAATGAGCTGGTGTTCTCTAGGCCTGGGGCTGGAGGAGGCAGCATCACCAGGTCCCGTTAGGGCCCCAGCAGCCAGCCTGCCTGCTCTGGGTGACCCTGGAGCCTAGCTGGGTTAGGGCATGGCCCGTGGCCCAGCCAGCATTTAGAGAGGGTGTTGGGAGAGCTGACAGTGCCTCTGTTGGCCTCTCTACAGCCAGGTTAAGCTTGCCAGGCAGGGCTTCTGTAGATATGTCTGGTCTTGAATGAATGCACACGAGACCATACGAGCATGCAGGGGGGTGTGTCTCCTGGATTAGTGGGTAATGCTTGCGTGCGATTGTGTGCCTGAGTGTGTAGGAAGGGGGGACTGCATGGGTATGTACCTGCTGTAGTAACAGTGCGTCCAGGTGTTGATCTGTTTGCCTAGGACAGTGTAATTGTGTGTAAGGGGGTGGTCCCCAGCAAGAAGGACTGTGCAGAGTGATGGCTGAGACCTGGAACTGGGACTCCGAAGGATGTGGTTGACTCAGAACAGAACGCAGGTGGAGGGGGCGCAGGCTGGGTAGGGGTCTGAGGAGGGAGGGCTGCAGGAGGCTCAGAGGCAGAGAGCTGAGTGCCAGGGTGGGGCCCCGGGTCCATCCTCTCTCTTATCCCTCTCTAGGTCCAACCGGTTAGGGCCAGCACCAGCCTGGGGCTTCAGGGTAGGGAGGGAGAGGAGCTCAGTCCTGAGCGTCCGGATCCTGGCTCCTCACCCCAGCTGCTTGCCTCTGACTCAGGACAGGAGGGGCCCCAGTGGGAACACGCATGTGGGAGTGGCTACACCTGGGCTGCACAATCACACAAGGGGAGAGATGCATCGTCACAGCACGTTCACACTGTCCTGCACAGACAGACACGTGCCATATACCTCACTCACCATCATACATGAGCAGTCAGTCACATGTCATCACATACCACCTGGGGCACACCAGCCACGGTCACACGACCACACACACACACACACACACACACTCATTCATGTACAATAGCACACTCACATTATCATATAAATATATAAGCAGCACCCAACTTCGTCAAGATGAATGATTTCCTTATAGTACACATACATGCACAATGTACACACGTGTACATATTTCACACATGTATGTAGTCATGATACATACAAGCCTACATACCAACACATATTTACATGCAGTATAAATACAGCTACACAAACAGCATTCAGATGCAAATCTAAACAGTCTTAGAATATATACATGTGTCCACACGCGAACACACACACTGCCATAGCATCAAACATGTGACGCAAGGATGCAAGACATGTCTCTATGACATCATGCACACACCCAGACATATACACTAAGCACAGCCCATGCTCCCTGTGGAAGCCGCACTGAGCTCTGGATGGCAGCTGATAGACAGTGATGGAGGGAGAGGCTGAAGCTGATGGCTCAGCCCTGGCCCTGCTCCCCTCTCCCTACCTGCCCTACCCTTCCCCTAGCACTGCTGTCCGCCGTGCGGATCAACGGGGATGGCCAGGAGGTCCTGTACCTAGCAGAAGGTGATAATGTGAGGCTGGGCTGCCCCTACATCTTGGACCCTGAAGACTACGGTCCCAACGGTCTGGACATCGAATGGATGCAAGTCAACTCAGACCCCTCACACCGGGAGAATGTGGTGAGTGCTGCATGCAGGGTTCTCCTTACTCTACACTTCAGGGTGTCCACCTCCTCCAGGAGAGGCAGAGACAATAAGGACAACAAGACCTGGAGCTTCCCTGAGGCCTCTCAGAGAAAGTGGCAACAGAGAGAAGAGCTCTGTAGTCATGAATGGAGCCAGCCAGTCTAGCCCCTCCCACCCCCTTCCAAAGGGAGGGTGAGGTAGGTCCCTGCCCTCAAGAAGTTCTCAGCTTGACCTTATCCTTCCCAAAGAGCCTGGTCTCACCATGCTACAAGGCCTGAGCGGACCAAGCACCAGCATTCTCCTTTTGCAGTTGAGAAAACAGTCTAAAGAAGAACAACTCAGCGAACTGTCCAAAGCAGCCCATCTACACAGCCCTCCTTGGCTCTGCCTGGCACTTCCCTCTCTTCTTCACAGTTCCTGAGTTACCAGGACAAGAGGATCAACCACGGAAACCTGCCCCACCTGCAGCAGAGGGTCCGCTTTGCAGCCTCAGACCCCAGCCAGTACGATGCCTCCATCAACCTCATGAACCTGCAGGTATCCGACACGGCTACCTATGAGTGCCGGGTGAAGAAGACCACCATGGCGACCCGGAAGGTCATTGTCACTGTCCAAGGTATGGCCAGACTCCCCTGGGCTCCACTTCCCCAGGCCCCCTGGGCAAGGGCAGCTTGGCCACTCTGAGCCCGGCTCTGCCTCTTGACGGAGCCCTGGCTCTTCACTGCCTGTTTCATTGTAGCACGTCCTGCAGTGCCCATGTGCTGGACTGAGGGCCACATGACAAAAGGCAACGATGTGGTTCTGAAGTGCTTTGCCAATGGAGGCTCCCAGCCCCTCTCCTACAAGTGGGCCAAGATCAGCGGACACACTCATCCCTACCGGGCCGGGTCCTACCACTCCCAGCACAGCTTCCACTCCGAGCTCTCCTACCAGGAATCCTTCCACAGCTCCATTAATCAAGGTGAGGGGTCTTGGAGAGGACACAGCAGGACTGAGCAGAATAACAGCGACTCTGGGGCCTCCTGGGTCTTCTCTGGGTTCTCACTGGCACCACTCAAACCTGGAACCCCCATGGGAGACTCCTCCTCTGGGCCCGTCCCAGGTGGAGCTGCTATGGAGGAAAGAAGAGAAGGCAAACGTGGAGAGTTAGTCAAAGACAGGATAGTTAATTTAGAAAGAGCAGGGTCTGAGATAGAACTGAGTCTGAACCCTGGCTGGGACACTGGCTGGCAGCAAGTCTCAGGCTCCTGGCTTACCCACTCTCTGTGTCTTGATTTCTTGATATGTGACTGGGGAACACTAACATGTACATTTCTAGGGTATGTGCAGGTTCAGTGAAAGGGGGTATAAGCTGAATAATATTCACGCCCAGAGAAAAATAGAGCTGGCAGAGACCTTGCGGTTCCTCTGGTCTAAACCTGTTCTCACCACGGTGCAAAGGAGATCCCAGCTCAGAGAAGGGACACCTGTCCTTAAGGTCACGGAGGGGACTACTGGTGACTGCCCTGGTGTTGGGAGAGGGGCCCTTCCTTGCCTCTGTGTCTCAGCAGGAGAGAGGTGACTCACCTGCAAAGAGGGGTGGGCCTGTGCATGTCCCCTCTCTTTCCAGAATGGGTGTCCCATTCTCCCCAACCCCACCAGGGGCTGAGGCTGGGGTAGGGGGCTCTGCACCTCACCATGTCCTGCTGATGCACCCTCAGTTTCAGGCCTGAACAACGGGGACCTGGTGTTGAAGGACATCTCCAGAGAGGACAACGGGCTGTATCAGTGCACAGTGGCCAACCATGTGGGCTACAGTGTCTGTGTGGTGGAGGTGAAGGTCTCAGGTAGGTGCATTGCCCTGGGGACCCGAGATTGTGAGGTGGGACTGCAAGTGCCTGGGCTCTGTTTTAGAGTCTCTGCGTGAGCTCTGCCTCTGCCTGCAGCAGCTTCAAGCCCTAGGATAACGGTGCAGACCTACAGGGTTACCTCCTTACTCCCCAGATCTTCTCACAGGGCTCCCTCTTTCCCCAGACACTGATCCATCACCCTGATCGCCTCTCCTTCTTCCCACAGACTCCCAGCGCGTCGGCATGATCATCGGCGCAGTGCTGGGCTCTCTGCTCATGCTGGCCTGCCTGGCCGTGGGCATCTGGGGGCTCATCTGCTGCTGCTGCGGGGGCTCCGGGGCTGGAGGCGCCCGCGGTGCCTTCGGCTACGGCAACGGCGTCGGGGTCGGCGGAGGGGCCTGCGGCGACTTGGCTAGTGAGATCAGGTAACACCTGATGCATGCTGCATGCTGCGGAGCCGGCAGGGAGCCGGCGCCCTGCCCTCCTCACCCCTGCCTGTCACCGGCGGCTGGGACCCTCACCCCAATCCCACGCCATCGCCACGGAGTGCTGGGACCTCAGCATGTCGACCTGCCACCCGCCGCATGGCTTTCTCTCTCTCCTGTCCCACCCCCACACCCGCCCTTATCTGCCTCTCTGCTCCACCGCCCTCCACTCCCCTCCTGTGTGTCTGTCTTGTCTAGACTGTAAGCTCCGGGAGAGCAGGGACTTTTTTTTCCCCACCTCTCCCCTGTATTGCGCCGGTGAGAATTCTGACATAAGTATTTAAGAAATTAATACTAGTGCTAGAAACTGACATTAGAAGCAAACTAGAAATAAAAATAGAAAAAGACTAGCAGTGCTAACGATTGCAATGCCTTGGGGAATAGAAGGAAAGATGGAGAAGGCTGAGCGACAGGGGTGAGGAGGTGAGCGCGCTCCAGCTTGCGCAAGGTCAGGGTTGGTTAGGAAGGAAAGGAGGAAGCAGCTCTTTCTGCACGTCTGAGGCTCGCTCCCTGCCGTTGCAGCGCTTCCACGAGAAGTCAGGAAGGGACGGACGGTGCGCCTGCCGCGGGCCGCCTGCTGTGGGCTGTCCCGACACGTGTGGACACGCCCCACCCGGAGGACCGGGTCGTCAGCGCAGGGAGGGGCAGAGAGCAGAGCAGGTCGAGGCCGAGGGAGAGAGGCGAGCGGCAGGTGGAGGGAGGCGCGGGAGACGAGAAGCTGCCACGAGCGCTCCGCCCAGGCCGTGCCCACGCCGCGCCGCGGAGCAGCCCGCTCACCCGCCCGCCTGTTGTTTTCCACAGAGAGGACGCCTTGGCGCCCGGGTGCAAGGTCAGTGGGCGCGGCAGCAGCGTCACCCACCTCCTGGGGTACCCGACGCAGAACGTCAGCCGCTCCCTGCGCCGCAAGTACGCGCCTACGCCCTGCGGCGGCCCCGAGGACGTGGCCCTGGCGCCCCGCACCGTCGCCGCCGCCGCCTGCGAAGCGGGCCCCTCCCCGATCTACGTCAAGGTCAAGAGCGCCGAGCCGGACGCCTGCGCCCAGGGGCCGCTGCCTTGCAAGGACGGTCTCGTGGTGTGAGCGCGCGCGCCGCACCGCTCCGGGCTGCGCCCCGGCCGGGAGGAGGGTGCGGGGCTCCCTGCCCGCAGCTGGGGACACGCTCGGGCCGGCGCCCACCTCGCTGGTTCCAGGCCGCCCGGTGGCTGGGGGCTGAAGACGTAGGAAGACAGGGTCTCCTCCCCCAAAGCGGGAGGAGCCGGGAGAGGGCGGAGGAATGCTGTCCGGCACTCTCTTTGCACCCCGGGGCCCGACGCTTGGGGAGAGGGAGGGAGGAGGAAGAGGAGGCAAAGACCGAGAGCGGCTGAGGCCGGAGGCCCAGTGTCCCCAGCTGCGACAGGGGGCTCCGGGGGGCCAGGTGGGTTGGGGGTCTGGATTGAATTGTTGACTGTGCGAGATGTGAGGTCTGTGTTCCGAGGCAACCGTGTGAGCAAATAAAAAAGCTTTAAGACTGGAGACCGAGGTGGCCCTGCATTCCCCCGGAGGCTTGGGCAGGGGCGGAGCGCCTACCTGGGGATGGAGGAGGTAGCCCCTTGTTGCCCCCTACCTCCGGCCGCCTTCCCGTACTGTCTGCTTCCTCTTCGTAGATCCCTAGAGCTGTAGGGGGCTCTCTAATCCCACTCCTTCACCACACAGTTGGAAAAGCTGAGACCCTGCATGCCGGACTTTAAATCCAGAATCCCATTTTTCATTCTAGGTCAGAGAAGATGACTTCTGAATGTTCCTGGCTGTTCTCCGCAGCCTCCATTCCTCCCCTCATCTGCACAACCCTGTCTGCTTTGTCTCTCCTCAACAGCAAGGAAGGGTTTTGCAGTCAGACTTATACCTTAAAGGCTTTCTAACCCAGCCCTCCCTTCGGTGGAAAGGGAATTAGCATTTAATTGAGCATCCACTGAAGGCCAGGTGCTTGTTGATATTTTGTGCTATTTATTCCTTATTTTATTCCTGTGAGATTGCATATTATCCCCGTAATACAGATGAAGAAAGTGAGGTTCAGAGGAATTGGGTCTCTCGACCAAGGGAGAGAAGGTAGTAGTTCAGGATTTGCCATAGGCATGCCTGAATCCAGGACATCAGGCTGTGTCTCTGACATGTGGGTTCCTCGCACAGCATTCCTGACAAAGACTCTCCCACCCTCTTCTTGAGTGCCTCCTGTGGCAGCTCGTGAGCTCCCAAAGCAGCCCATTCATTCAGCCTCTCACTGTCAACATTCAGAGGAACATTTCTTTCCTTGAACTGGGTTTTGAGTCCCATGTAGCTTTCATCCCTGGGTCAGGTTCTCTTAGGAAGCTGAGAGCATCACATTTGCAGGTCATCTAATCCTGGAGGACCATGGGGTTGTGTTCCTTCAGGGGGCTGTGGCAGGCACATGACTGGACGTGGACTGGACATGTGTATCGTCTAGGAGAGAGGTCTTGAGCACAGTGTTCCAAGCTCTCTTCGTTCTACTGCGTCTCCCAAGCCACCTGCCATGGAGAGCACAGACTCTTTCTTCTCTCTTTGTCCTTTTACTAATTCTTCCTGCTGCTACGCTAGGGCTGCATGAAGTGTGGGGTGTTCATGGATCTCAAAGTACACGGGTTTAGGAAGCCCCGGGAACTTGCATGGTTATATGTAACCATGACGTGAGATGATGGATTGGGTTTTTGCAAAAGGGGGATGATGACATTGCTGGGTCTGGCTTGACAGAGCCTGGGAGAAGAAAAGAGAGAGAATGGTGAGACAAAGGGAGCCAGAGACACTTGACTTAGGGGGGTGAGGTTCTTGGGGATAGGCACAAGGAGGAAGGGGAACAAACATTTATAACCTTTATTTGGCCATATGTAAGGGCACGTGTCGGATGACTTCTTCATAGGTAAAGAGTTCGATCTTCAGCAGGGCACTGTGCCCGGCACACATCTGCCCTGATGAGGGTGACCTGAGGGGGCCACTCCCAGGCTAAGGAACCTGCTGTTTCATCCTCCTGCAAGATGGTGAGGGATGGAGGCAGCCAGATTGTGTCCAGTGACACCTGCTGTCTCCTTTTTTCCAGGAAGTACGGAGCCATGCTCAGACTTAACTATTTGAGGGATGAGAACAGCTGGGCTCTGGTTCATTGCAAGAAAAGCTCATTATAAAGCAGCAAGAGAGATTTCAGAGAGACTCTGGAATCAAGTTCTGGTTAGAGTGAGTCAACAGGGAAGCTGGGAAAGTCCATAAATCCAATGCCGAGCTAGAATTCATCATTGTACTCACCACCCTGGGGAGACGAGACAAGGAAGTTTCTGCTCCAGCGATTTTGTGCAAGAGACACGTTGGTCTTTTTTCCTTCCTCTCTCCTGCATGAAACCTTACTCAGTGTTGGAGGAGAATGCTTGAGGTGGTAGAAGTTTAACACTGGTGGTGGTGGGGGGGCAGGGAAGCCTTGATTGGTAGATTTGCCAATTTCCGTGACTTAGATACTCCCATGTCCGCTGACTTCAGTGCAGTTGGGTGGAGTGTTTGGTATACATCCCTGTGTAGGATTTTCATGCTATAGATATGCTAGGAGAACCACACACTTTCAAGAGCTTAGACAGTAGAGACCTGTAGTAAAGTCATCAGGAAGCGATGCGTTAGGAGTGCTTACCCCTTTGCAGTAGTATAACTCATTGAATTAAAAGTTAATAATGTCTGCGTTCAACAACTGGTTTGTAAAATTCAGGCAGACCACGTATGTCACCAGGCAAGCAGAGGTGGGCACACGAGTGGAGCCTCAGGCGTGGGACTCCTAAGGACAGGCCTGAGTTTTCTGCCTTTCCAGTGAGACATAGTACAAAGTCCGTTGTCTTCCTTCTCCTGCCCAGTTCTCCCTCTTGTTCTCTCCTCTGAAGCTGGATTGCAGTTCCTGTGGCCACTCAGCAGTTGTTTAGATAATTCATACCTCTCTGGTTCCAGGTCATTTTCTCGGTAGCTGTCAGAAACCAAACTTGGCTTCCCCAGGATGTCAGCCGAGCCACCACCACCCCCAACACCCGGTTCTTTCTCTGTCTTCCCCGGACTCTAGGAGGTCATCTCCTAGCCACCTTCTCTGATACCCTGGGTGCTCAAGGCCGTGAGTGGGCTGCAAGCCGTCCTCTTGGGCTAACCAGTGCCACACCTGCTGCCTACCTCTCGGTCCCTCTTGGCCCTGCCAGACTGTGGCGACTCTGGGGAGGGACTGCTTTTTGTTTTGTTTTCTACTGGGAGGAAGGGAGCTTTGGGAATTACCCGGTTATGGTCATCCCAGAGTTCGTCAGGGAACGCTGCACTCCTATGGGTTTAGGTTGGGGTCTGCCATCAGATCTTTGTCCTTGGAGCTTCCCTGGGGCGCCCCCGTGGGGCTGGGAAGCCCTGCTCAGGAATTTACAGGCTCCACAGAGAGCCTTCCACTTGCTCCTGGTGTTGGGAAACACAACAGGTTCCATGCAGTTCCTCATTCAGTGTTGGAAGTACGTGCTGGGACACACGTGACCGTGTGGGCACCGTGGGGACAGCGGCTGCTTAGGGAATCTGGAGGACCTGGGTGTGGACTGTGCCGACTGCTGGGGAGTGGACAGGATGACCTTCTGCCACCCCTCTGTGATGATGGCAGAATGGGGGCACTGAGCACCAGGGGGGATGCTAAGCCCTGGACAAAGGCAGGATGTTGAACAGAGGAGGATGGAGCAAAACTGCTGAGCCCATTTTCCTGGGGGCGGGGTTTGGGGTGAAGCTGGGATTCCCATATGGGTTTCCTGATGGAGAAAGAAAAGAAGAAAAAGGAAGAAAACTTCTATTCAGCGTTTGTGAGCTGGCTGTGTTGACACATGCAGAGGAGCCTCTGTTTTGGAGTCAGACAGACCTGGATTTTCATAGTTATTTAAAAAGTTCCCAAGCCCCAAATGCTTGCTGGTTTGCTTGCTTTCCTTCTTTATTCCCCCTTCCTTCTCTCTCCATTTCTTTTTAGATTTATTGTGTTTATGTGAAAGAGTTATACAAAGAGGGGGAGGGAAGAAGAGAGGGAGGAGAGGAGAGGAGGGGAGGAGAGATGTGAGGGGAGGGGAAGGGACAGAGAGGGGAGGGGTGAGGAGAGGGGAGGAGGGTGGGAGGAGAAGGGAGGGAGGTCTCTTTCTATCTTCTGGTTCACTCCCCAAATGACCATGACAGTTGGAGCTGTGTAACTCTGACTTTCAAATAAATAAGAAGTAAATATTAAAAAAAAAAAAATATGTAGTTTCCTCTCCTGCGGGAGAGCAGAACTGGAGGCCCAGAGGAGGCGTGCAGGCCCTCAGGGAGGAGGAGGATGACCCAAGGGAGGCTTTGGGACTGAACTCGGAGGCAGTTCACCATCAGAAGAGGCAAGGAGGGCAGGAGGCCACGAATAGGGAAGTGGGAGCAGCACCAGGACTTGCCTGAGACTCCTGAGTGCAGGTGCGGGTGTTAATAGTGACACAGTCCTCTCGGTAACAGCAACACCAAACACCACAGGAAGCACCCGAATCCCAGGCCGAGCAGGGTCCCAGCGTCAGTTCTCGGCCCGGCTGCCAGAATCCTCAGAGCCCGCTTCCTGGCCCCGGCGAGTCCTTCTGGGCCCCTTCCCGTCCACCTGCTCACAGCTGCTGGCATGCAGACCCTGCAGGCTGCCCTCTGGACCCAGCACCTCTGTGGTGCACCGACAGTGACAGCCCTGCCCAGGGGGACCGCTCTCCTGAAGGGTCTCCACACAGCTTTCCCAGAGCAGGGGGGCAGCCTGCCCGGCAGGGATGCGTGTTCTTTAACTCCTCAGGGAGAATCAGCTCAATGTTGGCATCGGATTCCTTCAACCCACCCCAGGCCCCGCTTGCTGCCTGGCTGCAGCCTGCTGGGGGAGGGTCCTCCCAGCAGTCCCCTCAGCCACTCACTCCCTGGTGGGCTCCTGGCCTCTCCTCCTGCCCGGATGCCACCCTGCAGCCTTGTGGCCCTTCCTGGCTGTGACCCTCCCATGCCCTGCCCCAGCCCCAGCCCCCTTTGCAGAGAGGCTGTTTAGCTTGCTTGTGAATCTCCCTGCCTCTCTCTGCCCTGCAGAGCCCTCTTCTCAGCCTGCCTCGGTTATTCAGAAAGGCACCCTGGCCTTACTCTATCCTATTATCCGTGTCGTTCCCCTGCTCCCAGACAAGGGGAATTATTGTTTATTATCTTGGGATTGTCCTGTCTCCATCCTACTAGGCTTCCCTGCCTCATCGCCTCCTTCCTAAACATCCACTCCCCCGAGAGCTCAGATTTCGCTCTCTTGAGCTGGCCTTTCCTAAAATTCATGTGATGGATACAGTCTGAATTAGCGGCTTTTCCTCCGGTGTGGGATGGTGATAATGGCCCATACTTGAGGTTCCTGCAGGGAGATGGGATGGGAAGGCCACCATGGCACCCACCACCCCCAGTCCTTCTCCCAGGTGCACGTGGAGACTGCCTTTGACTGACCTGGGAATGATTTTGCCATG